TGCTTGATTGCTTCTTGAATAATTCATCTGTCTTGCTGTTGGTTCCCTGGGACTCCGTTCTAAATGAATGTTGAGCTCCCGAAGTTGAGGGTGTACCCATTGGAGTTGCGGGTCTTATCAAGGGCGTTGAAGGTTTTGGTTGATGTTCCGACTTCGGTAAGTACGCTTTTATTGTAGCTGTTATATTCTCATAATTTTCCTTGGTTTTTTCATACGTATTGTTAGTAAAATAAGCATGGGACTTGTCTGGAAAAGCGCACAGTTCAACATGATTATTCAGGAATTCCTGCCAATACCCTTCTAAATTATTCAATCTTGATTAATATAGTCGGGCGTCTTTCGCTCTTAACTATCTTTCTTGAAATTTACAAATATTTGATTAATGCCATCGATAATTTGTTGTTGATTTGCTAGGAGATTTTCCATGCTTGACATTACTTGGTGAAGGAGTTGATACGTTAACACCTTGGTAAATAATCACTTACTTGTTTTGCTTGTTTTTGAAAATACCTTGATACGCTTGATATGCTTGTGCTTTGCTTGTGAAATCCTTCTGCTTGATGTGCTTGATGAATGCTTATGCTTGGTGTGCTTGGAGAGTGCTTGCTTGGTGTGCTTGGTGAATGCTTATGCTTGGTGTGCTTGGAGAGTGCTTGCTTGGTGTGCTTGGTGAATGCTTGCTTGGTTTGCTTGATGAATGCTTCAAATTTGCTATGCTTGTGTTATTCTTGATATTCTCGGTTTTGTGCTTGGTGTTATTACTGGTTCTCAGTATATTTGCAGACTCAGTACACGTAGAGCGACGTCTCAATTCGTCTGGTGAGACCCGCTGGTGGGAGGCCAACCGAACCGATTGCACTGCACTTGAGATCCACAAAACACTGATCAGTTTCCTCGAAGGATCATAAAGATGTTTGGTCTTGGTATACCACACTTGGTATATACACACCTTTTACTTGATCTGATGATGAATGATTTAAACACGATCTTGAGAAAAACAATGATTTATTGCGATTTCACAATACACGAAACTTAGTAAAAATATAAGATTGAGTCACGCGGCCGTATTGGTAGGCAAACACAAACACACTACAAAATAAAATATTAATGAATGAGGTCAGTCGCGCATAGTGTCAAATTACTAAAATGCTGACGCGGGAGAATGCACGGTGTTGCACCGTACAAAGTTGATGCGGCTTACTTTGACTTCCAGAAAGCCTTCGACTCAGTGGATAAAGATACACTATTGAAAAACTTGGCGATTGTTGGATTCGTACCAAAGCTCCTTAATTTTTTTTTCATGTTACCTTAATAATCGACGTCAATAAGTGAGGCTCAGTGGATATAACTCTGGAGACTACTTTACTAGGTCAGGAGTGAGTCAAGGTAGTAGGTACGATTTGCCAGATGTTGTTTTGACTTCAGAGTGTCTCCTATTTGCGGATGACCTGAAACTAACTCTGAGTATTGAAACTGAGGCTGATGCCGTGACATTACAGAGAGATATTGATTCTGTGTCTATATGGAGTCAAGAAACCACCTTCCTTTCAATAATCTCAAATGTAAAATAATAACTTTCACGCAAAAATCACAGCCCATTATTGTTAATTATAAGTTGACTGACGCTCCTTTGGAAAGAGTTAAAGAGATTAGGGACTTAGAATTACTATTAGATTGCAAATTAGATTTCCACACGCACATCAACAAAATTTGTAAGTCAGCGCACAAAATGTTAGGGTTTGTCATAAGGACTGCGTCACAGTTTGATAATACACGGGTCGCAAAAGTATTATACAATGCTTATGTGCGCAGTAAACTAGAGTACGGTGCTGTTATATCTGGAATCCTTACGAAGAGAAATACGTTCTAATGATTGAAAAAATACAACGTAAGTTTGCTCGATGGATATATAAGAAACAGTACGGATACTATCCCTACTTATACCCTTCCTTATTCGTGTCTGGTATGGTGGACATTGAAACGTTGAAATTTAGAAGGATTATGTCTAAGTCATGCAATATCTGTCCATAATTCACAATGGGATTGATAGTCCCCAAATACTAGAGCGTGTCCGCATCTTGGTCCCTGGGAACGTGTCAGCAAACTCGCATGGACAGGTGGCGCCGCCCGCGACTGTTGGAGCCCCCCCGCGCACGTACCGAGCGCGCTTGTCAGGCGCCCACCAACCGCGCACTCCGCATTATTGGGGACATACTTGCACAGCACCACGAGCTAGACTTATTTGCCGATGGATTAGGACATTTGTATAAAGAAATTCAAATAATTTTAAATAAATTCTAGCCATCAAACTTACATATATTGTTTTCATAATTAATTATTATAATTGCTAGTTGCGTATTGTTTTTCTTATTTTTTTATTATTATTATTATTGCTATTTTATATTAATATTAATGTTATTTATGGACTCCGATTGTGTTTTTTATGATTTTTTCTATGATATTATTGATGTATTGTTAATTAGGATATTGTAAAATAAATTTGCTATTACCTATACAATGACGAGGATGTGTAATACCGAATTGTTATTGTTATAAGCGTTTTGGATGTGTCATCTGTTACCTTGTAAGATGAAATGTAAATAAATAAATAAATTACTATGAAATTTTGATGTATGTTGACAAAAACAAAGGTAGTTTTAGTAAAAAAAGTGACATACGTTTCAACACTAGGCACAAACACAAGCTAGTGATACCAGTTTCTCGACTCCACAGAGTCAAGTTATTCTTTCTTGGGGCAATGTATACGCTATTACAACAAAGTCCCAGAAAACGTACAAGGTCCATCTATTACCAAGTTTAAATATTAAATTAAACAAAACTGTATAAAAAGTGTTATTATGATATAAATGAATATATGGTTGATAATAACTCCTGGGAATGAGGTGGTCTCTTCCAAGCTGTTTCTAAAATTAATTTTGTAGATATTTTGTGATCATTAACATTGTAAAATTTATTTAAAAAAAAAGTACCGCTGCAGCAGTGTTGCCAACGGATGAAATAGCAATCCGCCAGACAAGGCTCCTCAAACCACCAGAAAATCACTAACAAAAAGATGTCCCCCTCTGAAAACCACTAAAATTTCCACTAAGATATATGAATATGATTAAAGCAAAAAAAAAAGTAAAATTACGTTTATTATTAAAAATCTTATTGTTGTTAATATAATTTTTTTTACTTTTAGTACTTAAAAACATCAAGTTGCTTAAGATATTATTTACATTAATAAATCGTCTTCAGATGAATCTGCATTTTCATTTCAGCCTTACTGTTATCCTTATCAGACTGATATGACTCCTTCGTCCCAATTTGTTTTATAAGATTTAAAGGAATTTCATAATTGTTGTAGCACTTTCCCATTAACTGTATACCGCAGCGTATTTTTAGAATTGATTTCAAAAGAGTTAGCTTCATTCTGTTTCGCTGCTTGTTTTTTATAATATTCATGCTACTGAAAAGTCTTTCCATATCGGCATTCGAATGTGGCAATACCAAAAGTGTAATCGCAAATGTTGCTAATTCTTGAAATCGAGCAACACCTTATGCATCTTTGAATTTCAAGACTTTGCTCCAAAATTTTTTTGTATTTTTGTTTCATTCCATCTCAGTAAATGAATTTGCTGCCATTGATCGTAAATTTTTGCAATTAATTCTGTACTTGTTACGAACCGAGCCATTATATCAACCCGATTTTCTTTGTTGTGATGCAGGGCTTTTTCGAGACTTATACGGGATATTTGTTTCATGAGAGTAATATTTTCCGGCAATCTGTTTTTTATTTCGTCAATCAGACAACCTATAAACTGTATGCACCTATTCCGCAATACTTCTTCCTCTTCCCGTGGAAAACCTTTCTCTTTCATTTCTTGAATCTGTTTTTCGAATCGGAATCCCAGGTAGCATCTTTGGTCCAAATAGTCACGAATATTTTGAGTAAAGATATCTATCTTATGTGTAGGCAACGTTACTTTTAAAATTCCTAATCCGCTAAAAAAACCACTAGCCACTAAAAGCAAAAATTTGCCACTAAAAGGGGGTTCCAAACCACCAGATTTAGTGGAAAATCCACTAAGGTGGCAACACTGCGCTGCAGCAAGAAACCTTGCTGGTTCTTCCCAGGACAGAGGTTTTTTTTCGAACCAGTGGTAAAGTAAAAAATTGACTTTCAATAAGAATTACTTGTAATCTATGTTGAATAAAAACTTATTCTATTCTATTCATAGACATCTACATTTGTATCCTTGTTTGCGAATCAAAATGCAAATGCGTTATCATCCGTGAGGACTAAGATGGAATGCCTCTCATCCAGTAAAAAGTCTCCAGTTCTCTACACTCACCATACGAAACACAGCAGCATTAAGATGCTATTTTACGGTGATATTCTGTGAGAGTGTGGTCCTTCCCCGATCGAGCCGACCCATTCGTGTTACAACTATACTATTAATATAGCTTCAGCATAGCTCTACCACGTACAAAACTTCACGATGCTATTTAAGCCCGCGGCGTGTGCGGTTGTTTGCGGCTGTCTCTGCACCAGTGGGCTACGTAATAAAATGCTGGATTATACATATACATATATATATATATGGTGAGCACTTAGCTCTTGAGCTAAGTGCTCACCATAATTTAACCTGGTTGCGGTTCCCGCCATCACCAATGTGATTGAACATTTATTTGCAATTTTAAGTGATGATTTACCATTTTTAAGTGATGATTTACTATGGTGAATGGAAACATCGTGAGGAAACGCGCATATCTGAGAAATAAAATATATTTGGACACCAACACGCAATGGAACAGCGCAGCTTATTGCTCTAAAACCATTTTAGAAATGAGAAGAAGAGAGTTTTAACTTTGATAGTCGTCTTAACTTTTCATATACGCGCTATACGGTCAAAGTCGCGGGCAGCAACAATTGTAGTAATACAATGGTAAATGTGATAATTTGTATTTTCAGGCTTGTGAACAACATCAAATCAGGAATGGGGAAGAAGGTGAACGAATCGAAGATGGCATTCAAATGCATGGAGAACATCAACGCGTTCCTGGAAGCGGCGCGCCAGCTTGGCGTACCGGCGCAGGAAACATTCCAGACGGTCGACCTTTGGGAGCGACAGAACCTGAACTCTGTGATTATTTGTTTGCAGTCACTCGGGAGAAAGGTTAATTAAACTGCATTTTTTTACATATAGAATAAGGTTGACAAGCGAGCACACAGTCCACCTGATGGTATTTAAATGCTGCGACCCATAGACATCTACATCTACCCTCAATTAAGAATCAAAATGCAGATGCGTTGTCACCCGTGAGAAATAAGATGGAATGCCTCGTTACTAGTAAAAAGGATCTTCAGTTCTCTACTCATCATACGAAGCATAACAGCATTAAGCTGCTATATGACGCTGATATTCTGTGAGAGCGTGGTCCTAACCCGATCGAGCAGACTCATTCGTGCTGCTGTCGTAATATTTTAAAATACATTGCAGCTATAATAGACTGAAACGTTGCTCTACCATCACATCTTCTTCTTCATCATCATCAGCCCATAAAATTCCACTGCTGCACACGGCCTCTCTTATTGTAAGGATATGCAAAGATCTTATGGTTTCCGATAAATGGCGGTAATTCCATCTCGTTCGCTTGAGACGTAAAATATTCAAAACAGCGACGGGAAGCACAGTCTGTGTAATCAAACTTCTTGTTAGGAAACTGTATTTTGTTTTAACAACGTAACTATACATTTGTAGCAACTTTCAAATTTAAATTCCAAACTTTTCTTTCGATTTGGGCTTGTTTTTAGCTCTTATAAACGTAATATCCAGTTCGGAAAACAAGACCTTAGAGAAGAACGGGCAAGAAATTTTGTGGCTCTTTGATATTTTTAAATGCCAATTTACAATTTAGTTTACAAATGATAACTGTATATAGTGTGAGGTTAATGTGGTAAATCGAAAACTAGGAGTAGGACAAAGACAAAAACGCAATGTCGTATACTATAACTAATATATTAGAAAAAAAAACTAGCAAACAAGCATTGGGAATAGGAACACGTAAAAGTATACTTTGATGTTGGTATCTCGAAACGACGCGCCGGAATAAACAGCATTATAAAAGAGTAATAAGATTAGAGAGTTATTCATGTGTTTGTGTTTATGTAATTCATTGTGATTGAACATATTACAGCAATGCACTTTTTACGCAATTTCTATTGACAATGTAACGCTTAAAGATTATTTTCCAATGACAAAGTTCTGAATGTACGTTGCTCTTCACGATAATTCACTGCCATATTTCGTCCAATAATTGGTCGTTAATAATTTCAGCTTAAATTAAATTTACGAATCGTCTACTTACTTCAATTAGGTAGGTACTTGCTTTTAGATCGATTACAAAGGATCTTGTTCCTCTTTACGTCACACTGTACGATAAACGTTCTTGCAAGAGTTTTCGCTGTCTATTTTCAGAGAATCCTTTTTTTATTTTGTAGTTATTTTGTTATATATATGATACTGATAAAAGAAACTATTTATAAGTTGATAAACGAGTGTAACTTATTATTTAATTAGTTCATTAAATCCACGACCAAAATTGATTGCGTTTTCCACCAAATTATTTGTGAACTTCCACGCATAGCGTTACGTTTACGTTTAGGAAAATTCCATTCCAAAAAACAACTTAACATTTCTTTGAAAAAAACGATAATTTCTAAAATAGCCAATCATAAGTTCCTTTTTAACTTCCTAACCTTTTCCAGCATTAACTTATGTTCGTTCCGCTGAACATAGATATTTTCAAAGAGTCGCCAACTATTGGCAAGTCTTGTAATAGTTGCCCATTTTCACCACATTGGCCAAGCGAATTGAGGAACGTAAAAAGTATAGATCCAATACCTTCGGACTAATAATTTAGAATTAGTAATTTTGTTTGGTATTGGTAATAAGTGCCCCCGTGAGGACTAAGATGGAATGCCTCGATTCCAGTTAAACGAGTCTCCGGTTCTCAACACTCATCATACGAAATACAGCACCATTAAGCTGCTATTTTACGCTGATATTCTGTGAGAGCGTGGTTCTACCCCGGCGAGCCGACCCATTCATACTACAGCGTGGCTCTACCACGTATAAATATGCGTGATAATGCATTATTTTGACTGATTTTACTACGCACGCACGCACATTCGTAAGGGCCGATTGGTAGGCAAAAACGTTGTTGTCCGAAAATCACATTCAGTCTGGGATAATTTCAAATTAAAGTAGAAGCCTTATTTACTCGTATTTTCAAAAAATGTTCATATCATTGTTTATATATTTGACTTAAGTTTAAAATTTGGCTACTCTTTGAAAAATTTATTAACCTGTATAAATGAAAACCGTGTTTTATTCACACAATGATAAAAGTAAAAATAAATCGTTGGAGTCTACTTATTTCTAATGTACATGTTTAGTATTTGTCTAAGCTCGGGTAGGTTGGCCATTTAATGTTTAAGAGTCCATAAGTGCTGTTTAGGTGATATTGAGCGATCTGGATCTCGATATCTATTAGACCTAAGTGTTTGCTATTTGGACACATTAAACTTGGACTTATAATCTTCAAATCTGTTGAAGCGAAAACACGATTTGGTATAAAATTCATAATAGAAAAGAAAAACGGAAAAAGCTCGTTTTGTACTTATTTTGAGTTAGATCTTTAAAACCTTATGGAATTGAATGAAGATTTTAACGTAATAGACAGATAATAATATTATCTCAAATCGTGACGATTTATTTTTTATTTTTCTACGTGGTCTTCTTGTAATTAGCAATTATGTGATTTGGCCCTTGCGTTATTTTATTCTAAGCGAGCACACTCTCTTTCTGTCTCTAGTTTTGCACGCGGTAGTAATAGCGCTATCCTGTTTAATTTGTTCACTGGTTCCATCAGTTTGCTGCATAGAGTAGAGTAATATATATATAGAAAGTCTGCTGCGGCATCTGTAGCGGGATGAACCCATGTTTGGCGATATTACAGAGACAAATTCCAGTATAAACTAATCTCGCATTGTATATGCTTTCCGTACACTGAGGGGTCAACTTATATTAGAAAATTTAGCTTGAGAAGCCGTTACGTTAGTACGAAAAATGAAAGGGGAAGTGGGGCAAAATTAGAGCTGAGGTAGTATGGGCTCTTAAGGCGACACCGTGAAAAAATGCACCTTTCATCGAATAGTATAGGACTATGACACCACTAACGAAAATGGGATTTTAATATAGGTAAATTCATGTCTTTATCTTGAATTTGATTGCTCAAAAACACGATTGTATAATTTTGACTCGATCATAATTATTTGCGAAAACACCTCTAAAAAATGACTATAGTTTAAATTACAACGAAATCATTTGATCTATATGCTTGGGAATCACTCAAATATATTCATAACATCAATATTCATAATTTACTTGCTCATTATTTTGATAACTTAAATCAATAATTTTTTAAAAAATATTTTAAGATTTTGACAATTTCTAAGCGCTTTTAATCGTCGCGGGCGCTACGCACTTTTAGACCTTATGACGGCGTTTCTTCAAGTTTTTATAGAAATTATGTATTCACTCGGATCAGTACGGCGATGGCGTTTTCGATGTGTCGTCTTAAGGCCAAAATATGATTAAATTCATAATTTCAATTTTTTTAATAATATTATTTACCTTCCTTCCAGACCGGTAACTACGGAAAGCCGTCAATAGGACCAAAAGAAGCTGAGAAAAATGTACGTAATTTCACCGAGGACCAACTCAGAGCAGGACAAGGTGTCATTTCACTCCAATACGGCTCTAACAAAGGCGCCAATCAAAGCGGGATCAATTTCGGCAACACGCGACACATGTAAACGTGCCTTTAAAATCCACTTGCATAATTGATTTACGAACGTACATGTACACACGTAACAAACGTAAATGATAAATACGAACGGAGCGTATTTGTTTTAAACAAACTTTTTGTTAGTTCGTTAAATTATTCTTAGCATTTCAACATACATGGTACTTATTTGGTTAAGTAATAAAGTCAATAAAAGTAAGGGTAAAATATTGTTAAAGAACCAATATTGTTAAGTGACTCGAATCTCTATTTATTGGTCTTTTTTCAAAATTATTAACCTTAGGGTAATTATTATTCTAAGTTATTAATGTATGTACTGTCATTCCAAATGTTTAATTCATTCCACATTTCAAATTTATTTTTGTAATACATTTTTAATATTGAAATAATCGTAAGTCGTTAGTAATTTTATAACTTATGTACTGTTAGTTTTTTTAAGTAGGCCAGCATTTCTTTTAGAAATAACAGATGTACAATAGTTTTTGACCAGTACTTAACATTAATTTTAAATTTGTGCCAATGTTCATAACATACAAATATTTTTGATTTAGGTTTTATATTACAGTACAATTATTAGATACTATTTTAGATTCTTCTTGTAATACTATTGTGCCTTCAAACTCCATAGAAGCTTTGAAATTTATTGTTCGTATGTAATTGACAAAAAGATTTGTTTTCTTTGCAAAATCAGGGTTGCCTTGATTTTTAATTTATTTATATTAAAATATAAAATTAATACTTCATTCCATTATATATGTTAGTATATACTGTGATTAACGATTTTACGAAAATAACATCTTTATTCTTATATTTGTGTATTTGACATCGCGTAATTTTAGGACTGTAACTTTCATAAAGAAGATACATTGCAACTTTATGGACGTACTTAGAATAAAATACATTAAAAAACATGTGTTTTTGTTATTATTTATGTATTTTATATTGAAAATATTTCAAGCATGAAATATGGTATCAAAAGTTGAACTTAAGCCAAATATAATATAAATGATACTCAGAAAAAACGAGGTTTTCATAATAGTTTTCACTTTACAAAAATGGAAAATCTGGATATATGCATTGTCTGTGGGCTGTAATATGAGATAGAATAATAAGAAACCATTAAATTTTTACTTTTCATAATATAATCGTTTTGACTATATCAGAACCCAAATTAATAAATAGCACAGCTAAGCAATTTCAGCGTCATGTGTAATTTTAGTGTGTGTGTAATGTCAATTCGATTAGCTTGCCATTTTTTTATATAATTTCTAAATGCTAGGATGTTTTTGACAAAAACTTAAGGAGGCACTAATTAGATAACGTCATTGAATTAAACGGGTCCAATGTTGATAGACTCGGGCGCTGTCCGCTAGGGTTCTATGCACCCAAATAAATTAAAATGTTCCTAAAAAGGTCATATCTAGCGTTCATGGCCTATTCCGGTAGTTGTTGAAAGCACTACGCTAAAAGTTGTCGACGAGTTTGTTTGCCTAGGACATATAGTCCAACTATTTTAGGTAAAGCCAACTTCGACCGAGAGGTCAATCGATAGATTCAACTCGGTTGGGCAGACATCGGAAGATTACAAAACATCTTCTCGTCAGGTATACCTCAAAATTTGAAAACAGTATTGTACACCCATTGCGTGTTGCCAGTGATGACTTATGGATCTGAGGTGTGAGGTCCTACACTGCTGGCCGCATGAGGGAACTCAAGGTGGCTCGGCGAGCTATGGAGAGGTATATGCAGTAGAACCATAGTTACCGACATAGCCAAACGGTTTATTAAGTTGAAGTGGCAATGGGCTGGCCATATAAGTCGAAGAGCCGAAAACGGATGGGCAAAAAAGTTGGCGAGTGGCAAACCCGTGCCGGTAGGCAAAGTGTAGGGCGGGCCCTCACTTGATGACGTCGGTTAATGACGACCTGGTAAGACACGCAGGAAGTCGACAGACAGTTCTTTGTGGCATTCCTTGGGGAAGGACTATGTTCAACAGCTGACCTGTGAAGGGCTGTAATCAGTGGTGGATTTACCAGCAGGCTCATTAGGCTTGAGTCTAGTGCTGCAAATTCGAGACAATTTTTTATTTTAATGGCTTACGGAAATTAAAAAAATTTGAATTATAAAAGAAAAGTTAAAGAAATATTTTCTACTATTATCACGGAACTCAAAACAGTTTTTCGTTCCTTGCTTTGCTCACGCTTTAAATTTAGTAAAAACTGCGGCCGCTGAATGTTGCAAAGAAGCTTCTCGCTTTTACATGTTGCTTCAAGAAATCTATGTTTTTTTGTAAGTTTAACACGAAGCTGGAAGTTTTAGAGATTCTTGGTACAAATTCCTTAAAACTTTGGAATCAATCAAAGATGATTGTACCGAAAAGCCTGTAACGCTAAACGAAGCGACGGGACTACTTTTGAATATCGAAAAACTGGAAATGGCGGTAATGATTGCTGTGTGGAATGTTTTTTGGAAAGCGTAAACAAAGTGAACGTTTAAATTCAAGTTTCTACCGTAGATTTGATTACTGCTGTCAATCATTAAAATTTAAGCAAAGTACAGGCGAATGGAATTAAGCGTATGGAAGCAGTATACAAAAGACGAGGAAAAAAGACAACCGAAAAGGTATAAAATTTCAAACACCAGATAAAGAAATGAGAATTTCAGGAAAGGATATTTTCAGGGCAACATATTTCTCCTCATCATTTAAAGACTCGTATCCGAATAAGAAAAACGGCAGGAGACGCCTCCAATAGATTCAATAAGAAGTTTTCATTTTTGAGCAAAATTAGTGAACTTTTATCATCAACTCTTACGGAAAAGCCCTTTTTCTTGGAAGAAATAAATTCCTATGATTTAGATACTGATCTTCGTTGCTGTGAAAACTGAATTTGCAAACCGTTTATCCAAACTTTAATACAGCAGTTCGCATGACTTTATGTACATCAGCGACTAATTTTTATAATAATAATAATAATAATAATAATAAAACATTTATTCATTACCACCAATATAGTTACAGTGAGCAGTATACACAGAAATAACCAAAATTACAAAGTGTAGTAATGAATGGGCTCTAGCTCAGCATAAATGTTGCAGTTGCCTACAACGCTGTTATTCTGCCAGCGCCCAACAAATGAAGAGTACAGTACGCGCGCATCCCTGCTTATATTATATTTAACAACTGTTCATATAAGAGTACATGTCGTGTTTTCCTAAGTATTAGCGAGTGTTTTTTTGGCGAGTATTGCGAGTATTACGAGTATTACGAGTATTACGAGTATTAGCCAGTTCAAATTAATAATTAAGAAATATATAATATAATAATATAATATAAATTATCATAAATTTATTTCCATAAAATTTATATTATTAATAATTATTGCAACAATACAGCTAATAGTAATAACAACAAAGTATTAAATAATATGTATTTTACTGAGCCTAACTTATTTGAGCTTATAAATCTACTACCGCCTACTGGCAATATTTATTTATTTTATTTATAAAACGGCCCTGTGATTTAGTAAGAATAATACGATTATGACAGTAATTGTTCGCTTAGTAAGTGACGTCTATAATTCTTTTTAAAACTGTTTTTACTTGTCATAGTGCGTAGAGGGGGTGGGAGATCATTCCAACACTTAGTTGCCATAAACTTAAAACTGCCCCGGAAAGCCGATGTTTTGTGTTTAGGGACGCATAAAACTTTAGAGCATAGTCGAATTTTATATAAATGTTGGTCATTTCTCCAGTTAAGTTTTTTGTATAAATATACTGGGTTCTTTGTATTTATTACGCCGAAAAGCAAAGAAGCATAAAAAAAGTTTGAGACGCCCCTGCATTTTTAACATATTCGAAGCATTAAGATATGACGTGACATGAGATCGTCTCGGTATGTAAAAACAATAGCGTGCACAAGTATTCTGTACCCTTTGGATTAATTTTTGAGATTTCTTAAGCAAACTGGGTCCGTAAACAGTTATACAATAATTTAATTTAGCTAAAACTAGAGTTTCACAAAGTTTTACACGTAAATTAACTGTAATGAATTGTCTAAATTTGTATAGAACTTTTAACCTGTAAAAGCAGTTTTGTACCGAATTGGTTACATGGTTTTCAAACCTCAAATTGCTGTCAAAAAGAATGCCTAAATTACGTGCTTTGTGAACTTGTGCAATTGTCTCTCCATTAACACGTATATCGGGTTTAGTTATACCAATATCGTGTACCTGCTTTTTAGTGCCAATGATAAGGAATTTCGACTTTGAAGGATTAATTACCATAGAGTTATTTTGTGACCAATCGCAAATACGTTGAAGATCCTGATTTAACTTATTTACTAAAGCATTAGTATTTTTTCGATCTATGGGTAAGTATACCTGTAAATCATCGGCGTATAGATGGTATTTACAGTTTTGGAGACAGTTTATTATATCAGCGCTGTAAATAATAAAAAGTAAAGGCCCTAACACAGAACCTTGAGGAACACCTCTATCAACAGGAAGAAGCTTCGAGACACAGTTTTTACCATTGTGCCCGTCTAAAACTACTTGTTGATGACGGTCAATTAAATAGCTTTTGAACCACTTGAGTGTTTCTTTATCAAAGCCGTAATATGAAAGCTTACAAATCAGCAAATTTGTGTTAATTGAGTCAAAGGCCCTTGAAAAATCTAATAAAGTGAGAATAGTACCTTCTCCAGAATCCGAAAAAGATAACAGATCATCCACGACATTAATCAGAGCTGTTGCTGTACCGTAATTTTTTCTAAAACCTGATTGTAGGTTGGGTATTATTTGATTTTTTTCACAGAAATTCAAAACTTGTGAGTAAACAACCTTTTCAAGTATTTTCGATAAATAAGGCAGTATACTAATGGGTCTTAGGTCACCTACATTTGTTGGGTTACTTTTTTTGGTATTGGACGAATAAGCGCAGTTTTCCAAGAAGAAGAAAAAACAGACTCTGTAATGGATTTATTAATTATTGTAGTTATAACATTTAAAGTTA